CCCAAACCCAAACCCTCGGCGACGTCGCCCGCGAGCGAATGGGGGCGGCGGAGGCGCCGACCCTGGCCGGGGCCGGGGGCGAGCTGCTGGAGCGGAGGGTGATGGCGGCGGTCAAGGCGTCGGAGGCGCGCGGGGACCCGCCGCTGCTGCGGGCGGTGGAGATCTCCCGCCTCGTCGCCGGGGAGCTGGGGGCCGGGGTCCCCAGCGCGGACCTCGCCGGGATCCTCGTCTCCAACCTCTGCTTCGCGCACAACTCGCCCTCGCTCTGGAAGCTGCTCGACCAGGCCATGTCGTCCCGCCTCCTCTGCCCGCTCCACGTCCTCGCGCTCCTCACCGCCAGGTCCGTGCCAGTGCCCGCCCGTTTTACCTGCCCTTTTGAAGGATATGCGAGAGTGACTCTCTGGCGTGGTTTTTGCAGGGTTCTGCCGCAGCGGCGGGCGCAGCCGGAGGCGTACCGGCTGTACCTGGAGCTGCTGAAGGGCAACGTCACGTCTTCCTCGCTGTCTCTCCTGGCCGGGCCTAATCGTGACAAGTAAGGGTTCAGCTATGCAATGTTTGAACGGGAAGCCCGGTTCAGATTTCTGCTATCAGTGATCTGTATGTATGCTGCTTGCTAGTTGCTGCTCAGTTGCTCATACATGGTTACTTTGGCTCCCAGGATAACGAAATCCATCGACGCTGCTCTGCAACTGTCTAAAACCTACGGGGTTTCTGGAACGGACTTTGGGCATGTTGTCATCCTGTTTGTGTTGATTGTGATCACCAAACTGATCGACTCCGTGCTGGAGGATTGCGGTATTTCATCTGGAACGACTCTGGAGCAGGAGAGTGTATATCCCAATGAAGGGCCACAGCCCATGGACATGGATGTCAAGGGGGTCTCCGCTGTGAAGCAAAATGAGCAGCGTGAACAGCTACGTCGAAAGAACACCGTCATGGCTTTGGAAGTGTTGCATATGATGGCCGCTGATAGGAAGATTCAAGCATTTCTGCGCTTGATATGCATTAACATGTATGTCTTGAACAAACTTATTAACATGTCAACTTTGTAGATATTCATACCCATGGGCATTCAGTTTTGCCTGCAGCCAATCATCATATTTTGACACCTGTTACCTTGTTGGGTTACCATGTGAGGATAAGGGGATGATTAGGTCTTCTTTTACAATCAAATATAACAAACAGAGTAGGCACAAGTATTATAATTAACCATAGTAATTATGTCAAGGTAAAGCTGCATTTCTGTAGGTTG